CGCGCGGGGCTGCGCACGGCAGCCGGCCAGCAGGCACAGGGGGAGCAAAGGCCCGAGACCCCGCCGGCGGGGCAGCGCTCCGCGGGGCAGTTCGCTCTCCCCGGGGAGCTGTGCGCGCCGGGCCCGGACAGGCCGGGCTCTCAGATCAGGTGAGACTGCACCCTCTTTGATCAAAGCCATAAACAGACATTCTCACAGTTTGCTATTTTAAAAGTTTAGATTCTGCGCGCATTTCGGAAGCTCGCAAAGCTTGCAAACCGTTTGAAGGACGCGGCAACAGTCGCTGCGCGGCCCGCGTTCGCGTGCCGCAGCGCCCTCTGCTGGCGGCGCGGTGTGCCGGCGCGGGGACGGCTCCACGCGCACCCCTGCGGCCGCCCGGCGATGCCCAGGCCGCGCGTGCATGTGCGGAGGACCGAGGGAGGGGAGAGGCAGAAAGGAAATTCCGAGCCTCACCGTAAAAACAAGCTGCACTAGGATTTTTTTCCTTTCCCAAGTGATAATTTTTAAAAAACATAAGCACATTTTGAGAAGGAAAACTTTCCTTTTTTTTTTTCATACCGGGAATCGAACTCATGACCTCAGGCTTGCCAGGCAAGTGCTTATGCCGCTGAGCTGTATCTCCGGACCTGAGAGGGAAAACTTGATGGTCCTGAGTCACAGGACGATTATGTGCCGTCCAAGGCCTTTGGTGACACAGAAATCCATGGCTGTGGTGTGGGATAGTAAATCTTTTCCCTTGGGAGCTTTCTGTGCAAAGAAGGTGTAATTCTAACTTCGACATAGTTTTTGTACCCGGCGAAACTTTGTACCCTGACTGTGGTAGTTGGACCTTCAGTGCGCTGCGCCAACTCCGGTGCTGCGGGCTTGGTCCCCGGCGGAGCACTGTTGCTGGAGCCTTAGGTGCAGGGCCTGGGTGGAGGAAGGGGTCAGAGGCACGTGCCCTTGGAGGGGGTGTTGGGCCCCTTCCTCCCTCTTCTTGCCAGGGGCCGGGAGGTGAACAGGGCTCCGCCACCTCCGTGTCCTAAGCCACAGACAGAACCCTCTGCAACCATGAGCCGAGTAAGTCTCCTCAAAACCCTTTCCTCACATCCAGGGAGAGCTAACACATCTTCATCCCCTCATCTTGAGACCCTGCACTTGTCTGGAAAATTCTGCTTTCTCACTTTCAGTTCGCAGTTTCAGATGTCTTTATCGTTCACTGTCTTTTGTACCAACTGTTGCCACTGGTTTTATTGTTATTACAACTTTTCAAAAATTGACCGATGTAATTAAAATGTCTGACAGTTCAAATCAACATTTCAACATCTCTTTCCAAGTGCTGAGAGATCTGTGAAAAATGATGGCATATGTTTCTCAAAATACAATTTTCATTTTCATTAATCTGATGTGTTTACTTAAAAATGGAACCTTGGCTTTTCCCTTATATGTACTTACCATTTTTGTAGAATAAAGGAGCTCCATGCCCGCTGCTGCTCTGCCTCAGGGATCACAGCCATCTTTGCAGCCTCCACTCACCCCAGCTACTCCAGACAGCTGCTCCTAGGAGGCACGTTCACCTAGAAGAGGGCAGCAGTGGGAAGAACTAGAACAGCATTTCTTTGTTATGACCTAAATTTTCATTACCCATAATTATAATACCTCAGACATGTAGAGCACTGTCTTAGTACCTTCAAAGTAAGGCATCTCCATCCCTGTCTACACAGTACAAAGTTCCACTGCAGGATGACAGGTGAGGCTTGGACGTGAAAGGGGGGCATGGAACTCCGGGCTCCTGGCAGCTCAGTTCTGCCTGCTACTTGCAGAGTGAGGAGGAGGTCCCCACACTTGCCCCTCCTTCCGGCCAGCAGGAGAGCAGAAAACACAGGCGCTGTATTAACATTCATGGATACATGCGTGTGGTAGATTGACAACTGGTGGTCAGCTTACAACCCCCAGGTGAACTGAGTGAGTGTGGTGCTGGGTGGGAGGCCCACCTGGGGACTGTTGCCAGCAGCGTAAGAGGCAGAACTGGAGAAGAAGATGGAGGCTGTTGGGAGCTGGGAGAAGCTGTAAGGAGCTGTTGGTTCTATTGGAGGAGCTTGTCAAGCTGGCTTTCCTCATGAACTTGGCTGTTTTCATCCTCCAAGGAGCTCAGGACCTTGTTGGCACTGAGAATGTCTTTGGTTCACTTTGGGAGAGCTCTGGTCCTCACTCTGAGCATCACTTCCTGGCTCCCAAAGGAAGATGGTGCACTGCCAGTCTCCTGGAGAGGCTTGCTGCATTGGCTTTCCTGACGGGAACGCAGCTGTCTTCATCATCGGAGGAGCTCAGGACCTCACTGTTGCTCAGGATGGCTGTGGTACCTTTCAGGGGAGCTTTGGTTCTTACTTTGAGCATCACTTCCCGGCTCCAGTGTAGATCCCTCAGCCTGCTGGCACAGATCCTTCATCCTGCTGGCACAGACTTTCTAGATTCCACCACCGACCTTTGGGCCTTCCCAGTGCAGATCTGAGAAACAGGCCTGTGTGAGATGTTGTCATGGGCTCTAGGTCTTCAGCTGGACTCCTACAGGACATTATCGTGGGATCCTGCCCTCTCTTGTATATGAGTCTTTGGGTGACTACTATAAATAATCTTATAAAATTTGTGTCCTGTATTATATTGTTCCCCTTGCAGTATCCCCCAGACCACGACAGTGAGCTTGTTCAGACTGGTGACTTATGCCCTTCACCTGAAATCCTGTGTGGCACCAGTGGTGTTGTGAATTCTCTGGCATTCAGACTTCCCCACGGCTGCTTGAATCCAAGCCACCCTGTCAAGGGGCCTGGGTGCTTCCGGCCCCATCGGAGGGTTGCCAGGGACTGCTCCTTGAAGGCCAAACGCCATTAACAATCCCAGTGCGGTATGACTAGACTGGACATGAGGCGGTAATCTTTAAATCAGTCATAATGGGCTGGGGTGCAGCTCAGTGACAGGGTACTTGCCCCGCACAGGCAAAGTCCTTGGCTCCATCACCTTTCACTCAGAGCTAGAAATGCACAGATCAGGTAAGAACAGAGCAAAATTGGCTTCCTCTGGTCTAAATTTTGAGTTAACTTTTTCTTTCTTATGGAAAATGTATTTGTTGAAAGATACTTAGAAATATCCACTCACATCCTTTACTAAGTAAATCACAAGCCAGTGTTTTCCTCAACATGTTCATTCTGTAGCATCAATTATAAATTTACCCAGATATTGATGGGATAAAAACTGAGGTCAGAGGAACAGCATAACTTACATAAAGGAATCTCTGGGAAATACTAAGCCAAATGTTTCCCCTTCTCACTGTGTTTCCCCTTTGAAGCAATGCTTACTTTTAAAACAATATGATGTTCTGCTTCTGAATGAATGTAGAATGATTTAGCGTCCACCAAGAAGACTCAGTTTGGAAAATAGTTCATAGATCCCAGTTTTAGGCCAGTCCTGTATTTTATGTATGGGAACACTGGATTATGAAAAGGTTAAAAGACTTTCCCCAAATTACCATTAGTGGCCAGAGGTAATTCAAGTACATTTCCTGTAACAAACATTTTAAGTGCTGTTTTTTAGCCACACTGCCTAATTCTCATCAGATTTCAAAAAGTAATATTTACTTCTTTTTGTGTTCTGTTTGTTAGTTTGTTTGAGAGGGGAACACAGCTGTTGCCCAGGCTGGTCTGGAACCTATGCGCTCCAGTGACCCTCCTGCCTCAGCCTCCCAAGTAGTTGGGACTACAGGTGTGTGCCACCACACCCAGCCAGCTTTTTTATTCCAATGGAGATAGAAAATAAAACAAAAACTTTTGGCGTTAGACAATTGCTGTACGATGGAGAACTCTCAATAAAACTTTAAGAAACCCAAGAGGTTTGAGTTGTGCAAGTTGAAGGCAACCCGTTTTCAGACCAGTGAGACAAATCTAAAGTGCTCTTTTCCGCCTCCATGGCTTGCAATTGCTGATCTTGAAAAGATCACCTTTTTGTGTTTGGAAAGGTCTGGAGCGCCTCTTGGTGCTGTCCCTCTCTGACCTTGTGAGAGGCTCCAGCCCGAGGTCAGCGTGTGACCTGCCAGAAACGCTTCCTCTGATCCAGGTAGGTCATGGGTGAGGCACATTCTAGGGAGCTCACCTGCCGGGGAGGCATGGGGGGCTCTGTTCCCTCTGCTTCCACGCTGCCTTTCCCAGAACTGCCCTGAAGCCTGGGTCCCCAGCCTCCCTGTGCAGGTCAGGAGCCGAGGGCTCCCTAGGCTCCTGCCCAGCAGTTGTCACCCTCGGGAGACGTCAGAGGGAGCCACTGCCGGTGAAGCCCATACCCGGAGCCTCAGAGCTCAGCCTGGGGCCACAGGAGAGCACTGAAACGTAGCTCCGGGCACTACAGTACTACTGATGTTCGGCGGGGCTGGGGATTGAACCCAGGGCTTCACTCTTCTGTGTGCCCTTCCATCGAGCTACATCTCCAGCCCGCTTACAGAACTTTATTCTGAGACAGATGTTTCACTCAGTTGCCCAGACTAGCTTCAAATCCACAGCCTCCCACCTCCACCTTGTTTTTTTCCCTTTAGCAGATTTTTAAAAAATTTTTAATTTTATTTATGTTGTAGGATTATAAACCCTGGGCCAGTTTATCTTTGGTACAGCAAAGCTCTAAAGTGACTGCCTGTGTAAGTCAGGCCATCTGTTCACAACCTTTACTCCGATTTAACCCACAGAATCCAGAACATTCACTTACACTCCACTCACTCCTACACGCACTCTAGGGACCCTGAAGTCTCAGCCTCCCCTCGCTATACCTCTACTTCTCTTGAGAGACAGCATGGCATCCCCCAAAAGTACACGTGACAAAAGCCCGCAGTACAGTGTCACTTGATTTTAAAGTAAATCAATCATATTAACATTTAAGGGGCCGGGGATGTAGCTCAGTGGCATAATCGCTTGCCTGGTAAGCCTGAGGTCGTGAGTTCGATTCCCAGTACCAAAAAACAAAACAAAAACCATTCAAATAAAAATCTTTCAGAGCACCTGAAAATTGTGTAATGTAGCTATGAGGAAAAGTTTACAAAATAACCAGTAGAAATCTGTCATCTGTTAAAAGCTCTCCAAAGGTAATCTACCCCTAGCCATAGCTTCCGGCAGGCCTGCACCCAGCATCAGGTTCA